TTGGAGAGTTTGGAAAATGTTACATTTTTGTTAATATAGATCATAATGGAGAGCAATCATCAGGTATTATTAATGATTGATTAATATATATGCATACATTCCATTCTAATCATGTAGTTCAATTTGGTAAGAAATAAAAATTTCAGTAATGAAAAAGTCATTTAAACTACTTGAAATATTCTTCAGTTAATTGCAGAAGTGGAGTAAAAACTAGACAAGTACTATATGTAATGAAAATATCCCAATTATAGTTTATATCCATATTCAGTTTGTAATAAACAGATGAGTAGATACTGGTGGAAGCTTCATTAAGTCATTATCTTTAAGGTCATGAGACACAGTCTGCAGTGAGAGTGTGCATGGTAAGAATACTGTGATGACTGAACAAATCAATCAAACCTTCAGTCGAATTATTTTATGTATGGATATTGAAAATATTTAGCTGATAATCAGGGCCACATATTCAGTATATCCTAACTTACTTGCTAAGGCCTTTTGTGGTTCCTTTTTTGTTCCTGCTTTTGCACGGATGCTTTCTAGAAAGAATGATAGTGCACTGTACCCCATGTACTAAGCGTCTCTTCTTTTTTATTTGTGACCAAGACAAGTTAATGTCTGGTGAACCTGTATTCCTCTAACAGCCACCATTAGGGGATGTTGTAATACCAATATGAAACATTAACATCTCTGAACTTAAATTTAAGTTTTTTGGTTCAAACAGATTCCTTAATTATAATCAAATTATCTATAACAGATTTTTGTTTAATAAGGAAAAAAATTACAGAGTTGCAGTCATTTCCTTAAGGTTATATTCAAAAGAAGTTGCTCCAAAACTACATGATGATTCACCTTTTTATTTTTTCTGTTAATAATCCAGACTACTTTTGTTCTTACAATGTATCAAAACAATGGAGTAAAGTAGTTGCAGAATTTGAGAATTTGAGTATATCTTGTGCAATTCTTCATTACCTAATACCAAGTAATTTAAAGCACTGTTTCAGGTGGGAGATGTACTTGACTAATATGTGTGATATGCTACATTTAACCCTCAGTGCCTCTAAAAAAGTTTTACTATATTCTAAGGACAAGTGAAAATGAACAAATTATTTTCAGAGAAGACCTCTGGTTTTATAAAACAACTTGGTTCTAAACTTGGACTATAAGTATTAAATAATTATATCTGTTGTTTTTATTGTATGCAGAGGTTGTACCATCTACTGAGATTCTTTTAACAGGAACCCTTCCTGCAAATGATATTCTTTGTCAGTATGGTGTCTGGGTTTAATACTAGTTTTTATTCCATCCCGGCTTTAATCTTCTTAAATTTTTCTTTCAACATTAACAGTTGTGGGAAAAGTTTTTAAAGATTTTACCTTGAAGTCTCCATATTAAAAATACCTACAAAAAACAAGGTTAATGTGTCATGAATTTGACTTTGAAGGAGAGATTTGGTGATGTGATCATTGACATCAAAAGAGCAAATTAGCTATTTTAAGCAAAAGAATAGAGTGTATAGGAAAGTCACGTGGCAAGTCAAAACAAAGAAAACTAGAAAACAGAAAAGAAAGGAAGTATGAAAATCACTTATTACCCTACAAGAAGCAAAACTCACCATTTTTCTTGACAATACAGATGACTATATATATATGTATATGAACATATATGACAGATATAAATTTATATGAATATAAAATTCATTTATGATCTATATTGCTGGTATACTGATTTTTAAGACAGTGTCAAGATAATCTAATGAGGATTTAAAATTTGTTCTTTTCATGTTTTTTTTTTTTGTTTTTGTTTTTGTTTTTTTGTTTTTCTCCGGTACTGGGAACCGAACTCACGACCTTGCGCTTGCCAGGCAGGCGCTTTGCCGCTGAGCTAAATCCCCAGCCCTCTTTTCATGTTTTAATGTACAATAAATATTACATTTTACTGTACTTGTTTTCAGACTCTGCTAATTTATTTTCTAAACTCAACATGACACACATTAAATGCTTTGCATATTGTTGAAAACTTTGGAAAAACTAATGTAATCATCTAGAATAATTGGCTGAGTTTCTGCTGAAGTAAAGGTTGAATTTTAAGGAAATACCTTTTCTCATAGCTACTAATTCCTAAATAGTAAATTCATAGAAGTTGACATCGTTTAACAATTTCTCACATGCAAGGTAAATTTTCCTCCATGTATTGTGAAATAGCGTTAACTGAAAAAGTAATTTTAATGAAAACAGTTCCATTTAATTCTTTAAAACATGTTTCATTTGTTAAATGATAAGATGTCAGATGACAAAAAAGAAAAACAAGTTCAACGTCACACTTAAACATTTATTTACTTAGGTTTGCAGCTTTTATTTTCAGCTTTCAGGATTTATGCTCCTTAAGAGAAAGGAAACCATTCGTGCCAAGTATGATTGCTTCCAGGTTGTGTTTCCACCTTGGCTGAAGTACATGCTTGTTTCCTCTAACCAGCCATAGTGGTTATTTGCACTATTTCTGTTATGAACTAAGTTATCCTGTTGGGCTTTCCTAACTAAAAAATTGTTGTTTTGTTTGTTTGTTTGTTTGCCTCGCAAGTATGTTTTTCCCCCAAATAAAGAATTTAGGATTTATCATGATATTTATTTATAATCTTGGATTTTGGAAAATATGAAAGATACCATGAAGATACTATGAACTTGTATAAGAAAATGATTGGAAGATTTTTATTAATAAGTTAAATAGTAGTACATAACCAAAACTATAGAATCTCAATTTACCCCAAAACAGGGATGCTTTTCATCTTATTTTTATCATTTCAGATTTAGCCTACTTAACACTATGTGTTGGCTTTGAATTTATAAGACACAGATAACCTCTGAATTTTTATTTCTGTAGAATTTATGACTTACATTGTCCATTGTCAAACACTTTTTGTGAAATCACTTTTCCTTTGTAACACTCACAAAACTTTACATTAAATAGAAGGAATTATATGTGTATAAGTTTCTAATAAGAATTCAGGAATTTATTCAGTCAATGTATATTTACTTTCGCTATCTTTTAAAAAAGAGGCTAACTAAGGATTGCATAGGATCCAGAGGATTTTGAACAGATTACACTTCCCTGTGATAATATTTCAAATAATATGAAGCATCCCACATTTACCACAGAGCAATCAGGGTTATAATTATTTCCAGGAAAAATATAAGTAAAGATTGCCCAGAAGGGCTGAGTAACGACATAGAGCACCTCCTTGAGAAACATGTAAAGGTAACCAAGTTAATAGGACTTGCTATAGGATGAATATTTCCAGTTTTGTATATCATTATATATATGCAAATGCACATACGTATATGTACTACCATCACAAACAATGTAATAAATTAGAGAAATGTCACTAATCATAGATAGAATGAGTAGGTGTACAATTTTGTCACTGACGTGAGTCATAGGGCAGAGAATAATCAGGTTGGCATGATGTTTTCTCCTGACTCAGGATCTGTAGGGTCCGTAGAGAACATGGGTAACAACCTTTCAGAAACACTGATTGCAAAGCAAGGTGGTCCGCATATTAACCACAGATTTTACCCAAGAGGATTAAATAAAACCTGACAGTATTATGAAAACAGAGAAGGAAAATCAGCAACGCTGTGGGGTGGATACTGAAGCAATTGTCGCTGAATATAACGAAAAATAAGCACTCGGGTTGAAGCCAGTTTTGGAAATTAAAAGGCAGAAGCAATGATGAAATAAATTATATCACTCTTCATTTAACAATTTACTTATTCTCCAAGTGAAAATGTGAGTTTTTTAAGGTAAGATTTATAGTAATGTGCAGTTATCATTGACATATGAGAACTAAGGCTTACTGATAGTAAAATACAAAGACTTAGTTTTAAAAATAATGAGCACTTTAGAGAGAAGTATTTATAGTGTAATAGATTAAAAAGATATATGTTTTTTGATTATATACAAAAGTAAGATGCAAAATTGTGCATAATTTTTATTAGCTAATGTTCTTTAAGGACCCTACAAACCCTGAATGAAGAGAAAACATCATGCCAACCTGATTATTCCTTGCACTTTGCCTCACGTGAATGTACACCTACTCATCTGTACAATTAGTAACACTTCATTAACTTACTACATTTTGTTACAATAAAAATATAAAAAATATCGACAGTGTAGGAAATAGGATACAAATACATTTCATCTGATAAAATTTTGTGAAAGATGTAAAATTTAAATGAAATACAGACAAAGTTAATGGGGAAGAAAATCAAAGTAATAATGTAAATCCAGTGATATTTTCATTTTACAGGCAAAAAGAAGATTGTTTAAAATCAATAACTGATGGAGATGAAAATAAAGAATACAAAAAATATTGAAAATAGCACTTAAGGTGCACACCAGAATACAAAAACAGAAGGAACACATTAGGTTAGGAGCAAAGATAATTTTGAAACACTTAGTGGAACACTGAGTATATAAATTGAGTGAGACTTCTTTGATATTTAAAAAAAATCTCTCATGTGGATGTATTTGAGATAGAAAATAGTGAGGCTTGATTCCTCCTTCTTCCCTCTGGCATAAGCCTGAGCTGACTGACAGCTGTCATGTCCGTCCCACACACCTCTCGCATCCTCAAGGATGGCCTAGAAAACCTTGCACCGAGGTCTTCCTGCCACCCTGGTGCTACCTCATTCCTGACCCTGTAGGCCCCTCTGATAGGATGCAGGGCTTGGCTGACGGCTATCGTGAGCCCCACCTTCCCGGGGCCTCCTCCGGTCACTGCTGTCTTTCTGGGAAGCAGTCAGCAAACCACTCTTGACAGGACAAAAATCACGCAGGAATCAGAGGGCCGTGAACAGCACAGCCAGCTCTTCTGAAAACTTCTTTAAAATCATCAACAGTCGTCACACCAGACCTGCCATTTTCCCGGAAATGCAGCAACAGTCAAGCAGCCTTTATCCCGGAAGCTTGGCAGAGCTGTTTCCATGGCAGCCAAGCCTGTCCTGGAAACCCAGTAACTGTCCGGGAACCATTCCCCTTGGCTGAATCGTGTTGGAACACAGTGTTACCCCGCATAGCTCTGCCCTGGGTACTCCTGGTGATTCCACCCTGCCCACTGCAGGTGATCTTGCCCTTCTTAGTCATTATTCTGAAAGTCCTCAAATAGGTCCACAAAATGTACAAACCTGCACATTCTAGGGAATGTTCCTGCTCTGTACAAGCAGTGCACCCTCAACCCTTAAGCCAGCGCACAAAGGCTCCCCTAGGGCGGCACTCCCTGTGTGCAGTGTGAGTCCCATAAGAGTCTCAATCAAGTGGTCCCTCATCCTACTCATGGCTCTTATTACCTGAGCGGACTGCACTAAAAGAGGTGGTAACACTGGGCACTGTTTTTCTAGAAGTGTTCCAGGAAGGAGCGGTGGGGACCAACGGCAATGGGTGGAGAACAGCAGTAACAGGCAACAGTGACTGTCACCAACGGGAGGAAACTTGAAGCAACAGACAGAAAATTCTGGGGACATCTAAAGAGACCAGAGAACCAACAGAAACCTCCAGAAGGCTCCAGAAAGCTGCTGAAGGGGCTAGGAACCTTGACTGCTGAGGAGGTACAGTAATAGGAGTAGACTACTAAGTCCAAGAGACAGCGGCACTCAGAGCCCAGAACTGGAAAGCTAAGCACCGTGACCCACCGGCAATCACAGCACGGGTCAGTGTCATCAAGGGAGCTGTGTTTTGCTGATGAGGGACTTCTATCCAAATTGAGCAGAAGCAACATTGTCTGTAAGTATCATCTACAGTTAAAAACGCGCCACGCAGTAACTCTTATTCCACCTCTGCTTCTGGTTTGTTTTGACTTCTGTAGCTTTATTTTTAAGATCTGACAAAAGAGTTACATTAAATATCTTCCTCAGAGATATTTTTCTGCTAAAAACCTCAAAGATATTTTTCTGCTATCAACATATGGGACCCAGAGCATGCATTTTTTCTGCAGATTTTGAGAATACTTCATTAGAATGATGTTACTAACTTTTCTAAGGAATGGGTATGTTAGACTTTTCTATGTTTTCTGCTAAGATTATTTGGGATTAATTACTTAAGGAAGAGGACAAGCTAAAAGACTATAGTGAAAGAGGAAAACCAAATGATTTGTAATTTATACTGACATATTTAAACCCTGAAAAATTATGATAGGTAATCATATAGACAGTCCTCAAGTTTGACAGTCATTAACATATCCCCATAATTTTATGTTTTCTGTAGTACAGGGGATGAAGCATAACTACTCTATCACTAAACTCCAACCCTAGCCATCCTTATTTCTTTCTTTTGAGATGAGCTCTCACTAAATTGCTCTGCTGGTCTTAAACTTCCAATCCTCCTACCTCATCTCCCCAAGTATTTGGGATTACAGACCTTAAAGAAACAAATTTTAATGCTGTCACTAAGGGTAAATGTATTCCTACATCTTAAGAAGGAAGGTATGTTGCACAATTTAGTGCATCATGAAAATATATGTTTAAAAATTCATAAGAAAATTCAAACATCTGTGTTGGGGCACTTTGTAAGTATTTGAATGTCAGATGTTAGGTTGAGCAGCAAGATGCTTGAAGATGTCTTGTATAAAAATGTTGGTGGGGGGCTGGGGATTTAGCTCAGCAGCACAGCACCTGCCTGGCAAGCTCAAGGTCGTGAGTTTGATTCCCATTACTGGAAAAAAAAAAAAAAAAGAAAAAAGAAAAAAATGTGGGTAATGGAACCTAACTAATACATCTGATTCGTTATTGTAAATATACATGGAATGTGGGAATTCTTGACATGCAAGTACTTGGAAACTAAATGTATACGTCATAGGGGCTCAGAGAGTTCTGCTTGGCAGTGTAAGCAGTGAGATTCTATCACCTCAACAAAAAAAGGACAACAGAGAAATGACTGAATTGGCTACTCAACTGTCTTGTTTGCATGGGAACAATCGGCTCTCTGTCACTGACCTATGCTGACAATGTGTAATTGGCAGAAATTCATCTGTTTGTCATGAAAATGTGCGCCCCTCTTTGATTTCAGTTTGTACTAAAGTATGTTAGATCTTCGTTACTTAGCAAATGCCCTTTTATTATGGTGAGTTCGATTCCTGGTACTGAAAAAGAAAGAAACAAACAAAAAAGAATTTCATAATGTCTTTCACATGAATGTGAGTGGGTTTGACTATCAGAGAATTAGATCTCTCTGCCCAATGGTGCAATTTTGTTCAAATTTACATATTTCAACTCATGCCTCAGGTCTTTTAAACATTCTCTGGGAGAAAGGAGTTACTTGCACTCATTTTCTTTAATAAATGAAAAGCTTCTGTCTTAGATTTCTCAAACAGTAACGTGACTGTTCGATCCCCTTGTCAAAACATCAGGATGTCTTAGAGAGTAGAAGTTACATCTTTCAAAAATGTCTTTCACTAATATTTCTCAGTGCCCAGCAAGGCATTGGAAACCCAACTGGAGATTAATAAACAGGTATTCTGTGAAACCAGTAGATATGATCATTCTCTCATTCTGGTGACAAAACTCAAATAACTCATATTTCATTTTTTTGTTGTTGTTGTTTTTTCCGGTAGCAGGAATCAAACTCATGACCTTGCACTTGCCAGGCAGGTGCTGTGCCACTGAGCAAAATCCCCAGCACCTCACATTTCATTCTTACAGTGAGATTTAAACATAGATATTTAGCTCACTTTACAGAAGGAAACTTTTCATTTAACAACCATTCAGCATTTTGTTATTTAGGTATCAAAGTCATGACTTCGTTAAATCTTTGTAAATATGAATGAAACAGAGGGAAATGAAAAGATGTACTCTCCAAAACTGATTTCAAGGTCCACAGAAACATAGACAAAGTATAAATATAAAATTAATGACTATGAAAGGAAGGTGATATTTACAATACTTAAAACACTGGGTTAATATTGTTAGAGAATTAATAATTACCTCACACAATTCAAAAAATCTAATTCTACTAAAATTTACCAAAATAATTAAAGAAATAGAATTATATTAGATCTTGTATGTTTCAAACGTTTAGATGAGGAGGTGTTAAAAACTAGAAGTGACACAAATTGCTGAGAAAACTATGAATAATTTATGCATATATCTTGTGCTGTATTTCTCATTTATTTTTAGTTTAAAAACTCTAATTGGAATAAAAATGCATAATTTTAAATATGTTAGTACAAAAATATAAAAAGAGAACTTATTTTATGCTTGTATACTATGATGTTAATAATTTAGATGAGTCAGTAAACTTTTTTGAGAGAAGGAATACCCAGAGCATATATGAGTTAAAGTACAGCAAAGAAAAATTGCAAGAAGTTCTGAGGGAGCAAAACCACAGACCCATTACTGTGTGGATGTTTGATAGTATCAGAAAAAAATTCAGGCCACCAAGTCCTGAGTGTTAAATGAAAAGCCAGAACTGAACTATAGAAACTCTGACATCTTTGCTGAGAGGTTTAGATTGGTTTTAAAAACATGACCATAAAAAGAAAAATAATATGGAACTTATAATTAATCATAAGTAAATACACATGTTAAGTAATTAACATAAGAATTAATATAAATGAGGAAAAGAAAAATTAAAATCAATAATTATATAAGGAAAACTGGTATAAATAATCCAATGTGAAGGATAAAATTGTCTATAATTAAAACTGATGAAATGTCTATGCACATCCATATCATAACATGTATTATTTGTGAAATATAGTAGAAAGGAGAAAACATAATTTGCACTTATGCACATAGATTCTTAAATACTACTTAAATATCCTAAATATGTTAATAAACCAGTAAACAGAGAGACGTCCCCCATAGTAAGAGACTTTGTTCATTTATCACCTTAAATTCTTATAAATAGACAAAGGAGAAAATCTATTTCTCTCTTGTACAAATCATATTTTTTTTCCTCTGTCTTACTTTTGGATGACATCTCTGCAAATCCTTTTGAAAAATTGGTTTGTCAGTATTACACTTCAATTCCACGGGCTGCTTCTCTAAAAAGACAGGTAATTTGCTCAGGGAAATGGTTGCTTCTGTTACAGCACTTGCCAAACTATTGACTAACTGAGAAAACTTTAAATGCTTCGCAATAGAAGTGTCTGGTACAGTTCATCATCAGAAGTGTGTGAAAGAGAAAACATCTACCAGAATTTCTTGATATTATTTGATATTCCCGTCAAATATGTCATGGCCTCCCCAGACTTTGTTTATTTGCCTGAACTCAAGTTTCCAAGACAACAATCAGAGGCGGTGACTTCTACGTAAAAATTGATTGAGAATATTCTTCTTATCAGCATAGACTGAGGCACAAAAGACTGATGGGTAGGGAGAGAGAAGAAGAAAATTGTGAAGCATTGCAACAGAGAACCCAAGAGTTCTAGATCCTGTCGTGTGTTTCATAGTTATTTTCCCTGGAAAAATAAAAGTTCTTCATAGGCTAATGTATGAGTCTTTGTATGTAAGTCTTCTGAAACGAAAGCGTTATTTTTAGTAAGGCATCTCAAGCTAGGTAATGATCAGTAGTCTACCTGAGCAGGTGTATTTTAATAAGCTAGAACAAATGGCTAAATTTCTAGATGTGTACAGTCTGCAAAAATCTAATAATTCAGGCATAGAAATCTGAACATATCAGAACAAGCATAACAAACAAGCAGACTGAAACACCTTCGCTCTCAGTGTGTTCTGACTGGGCTACTGTTACAAAAAAGAGGGGCAGAGAACAACAGAAAAGAAAGGACAGAGAAAGAAAAAAGAGGGGAGAAAGGAGAACACAATGAAGTTAGTCACTTTAAATAAAGTAAATTTATTTATCACAGGTCTAAACGCAGAGAAGTCCAAGGTGAAGGCTCTGACAGAGTTGTCTGTTGAGGGCCTCTATTAATGTTCACATATAATAATGCCTTCTTGCTCTGTCTTCAAACCTGTTGACATAGCTTGAAAAGCTTATTTCATAAAAGTGATAACTCCCCTCATGAAAGCAAACATTCACAACCGAATCACCTCCCAAAAGTCCCACCTCCAAAGAGCAGGTCCTGGGTGAGGCAATGTCATCTTTCAACAGAGAAGCTTGGTGAATGTTGTCATACATACAAAAGTTAATGCAAATCCTTCCCAAATTCTTACAATTATGGTGAACACAAGACCTAAAATTCAGTTTTTTGTCTTCTTTCCACAAAATGAATATAAGAAGGGTTTTTTTTATGTTTATATTTGACTTAAATTAATGATTCTATACTTTTCACATTCATTTTCCCCCCAGCAAATCAATAGAACTCAGTAGGAGATATCCAGTTCCACTGAATTCCTAATTGATAAGTCCCACTACCCTAGTATTTCCACACCATAAGTCAATACTTTCGTTCTGTGTTCCATTCTATTTCATATCTGATGAAAGTTTTACCATACAATTGTACAATGTTATTACAACTTCATGATGGGTTTGTGGTATAAGAAATTACCACAAATTTAGTGCCCTCAAAAAAGACAAATTTATTGCACTACCATCCTGGAGGTGAGAAATCCTAAAACTGATTCAGAAACAGTGTATCCTCTAGTAAGTTCTA